ATTTCGAACAGTTTTTTTTCTGGATATATCGACGTCATGGGAAACTGCTTAAACAACTTTGTAAAAAAGGTAATTTGGAAGTCAAAGAATTGATAATTGTAATAACTAATAATATATAACTACAAGTGTATCGGGGCACAATCTCATTAAAATCAGACCTTAGTTCTCGCTACCGCTAAGCAAAGATCTCTTTGTTTAGCGGTAGCGAGAACTAAGGTTTGATTTTAATGAGATTGATCGGGGCAAGAACTGACTTCGACATAACAGATGTTTCTCGACTTATGAGGACCTTCTACACAGACGTCGGAAATTTCTATAATGTATTTTACTCATTTCGAATTAACCATAATCCAAATTTACTTAAATGTTTCTAAACCTTCTCCGTCATCTATCTACATTACTGTCTGTTCTGTTTGTGCACAGCCGTAAATAAACGAAGAACAAAATATAAGTTAAGATTTTAAACTAAAATCAGGTCACAGATTTCAGCCCCGAGAATTACCGACAGTCGTATTTTTAATTAATGGCGACAGGCGACACCACCCTACCATTATATGGGATGACGGTAAATCCCCACGCTACCTCCCTTAGGGGACACAGCCGTAACACAAACACCTGAAAAGCAGCGAATATCTTGTTATCAAAGCCCTACCCCGGGGTTGCGACACAGCACGCAATGCAGGGCATTATTCTCATCCACTCAGCGCTATCGCTGTTTACCAGATTTGGTCATTGTGCACAGTTTCCCGAGCAGTAAATCTCGTGGTGTCAAGGTCGCGCGTGTACAAAGACTTGTTTCCGTTTAACTTAGGCTCGCTTGTAACTCTACACATCCTCCACTCCTTCCTGAATGCTTCGAGGGATGTTTCATCTGACAAAGCATCCGTTACGACTCGTCTCTTTCCGTATCGTCGCCATTGGCCTGTTCCGGAATGACACGAGTAGTCACGAATGCTGACAAAGTTGAATATTGATGATAATGAGGTGTTATGTGGAACTGACAAAGTCTTGCGTTAATTATGTTTTATTATGTTTTATACGTAGAAACAGTAAAAGAGACTGCTATAATGGCAAAAATAATTTAACGAATAGGCGAGATACATTTACTGGGGCTTTAAGACCTAGAAGTTAACTCGTTTGCTCGTCACGCCGAAGACCGGGTTCTATTCCACACATGGGTACACTGTGTGAAACCCATTCCTTGTCTTCCCCGCCGTGATATTGCTGGAATAGTGCTAACCGCGGCGTAAACCCATATTCACGCATAGCCCCGACCAGGCCCGAATGTTTAAAGAAGGATTATGCTCGATGATGTGTTGCCCATTTTCGGTATAGGTTAGTCTCCCAGACCCGAGGAATTTATTAAAAAGGAGTCCAACGCAAGGCTAGCATGATTTGGCAAGTCTAGATTGCCTCAGCTCCTGAGCTTAAGGGTTGTGTTCTGTGTTTGTTGTTTAACGCCGCACTCACCATTATTCCACCTATATGACGGCGTCCAGTAAATAACCGAGTCTGAAACAGACAATCCCGTGATTGACATCATGAGCATCGATCCACACAATTGGGATGTGATGACATGCATCAACCAAGTCTGCGAGTCTGACCTACCCGATCCCGTTAGCCGGCTCTTACGGCAAGCATGGGTTGCTGAAGACCTGTTCTCTACCCGGATCTTCACGGGTCATATATGATTGTGCTGAGCTCCATTTGGAGTATATTTTGTTATTTTGTAGATACATATTTTCAAATGAGATCACTTTATTTCTGGAACTAAATGTCAGTCTGGGTATAGTTCTGATCACTGTTATTAGTGTCCTGCGTGAAACAAGCGTTGTTTCAGTGTGCTCAGGGTAACATTATCTCTAAGAGTGTTATATCTGTAAGTGGCATTATGGAAGCTGTAGTATCAAGGAGACTGTTGACTGCTGGTAGACCTGCAGGTCAGTGGTTCGATCCCCGGCCGCGTCATACCAAAAGACGTAAAATGATGGTACTGTTGTTACTCTGCCTGAGGCTCGGCATCAAGGGGATAAAACAAGGACTGTTCGAAGAGTTTACTGTGTCTTAGTTGGGTGTGCATGTTAAACTGCGGCATGGTATCTCAATGGACTAACACTATAAAACCCACATTAGTCCGGGCTAGTACAAGCAGCCGCACGAACGCACGCACACACTTATATACACCCGCACCCGCACCCGCTCCCGCACCCGCACCCGCACCCGCACCCGCACCCGCACGTTCATGTCATCACGCCACAGACAAAGCGGTGCATGAGTGAATAAACGCAAACCCGCTAAGGCTGACCATCTATCGTCTGGTTCCCCGTTTCTCCATGCAGAGCAGGTCGCCGCGCCCTGACTTTTGAAATCGTTTTAATCACTCCCACCCAGCTCACAGCACGTTGTCACTAAACACGTGTTGTTTTACCCTATATCAATTCAAACGTTGCCGCCAATTGCGTTTCAAGTCAACACAGCGCACAAGAGGTCAGACGTCTGAGTTACACACCACCCCCACGCCCACCCCCCAAACTGTACCCCACGAGGTCTCCCACTCTCATCTACCCCCTCAACACCCTTGAGATTGCACCACGCAACGTCAGTATTATTTGTCATGTTGTCATGCCGTATTTCATTGATAACGATTCGGCCAGTCTCCCTTTAGAGGAATCCACCCTATGCACACACCCTTGACATGCTTTAACCCGACAGTGTGTTCCCGCCAGCGTCGATATGCACCTGCAGATTAACCCCAACCAGCCTCCTACCCGGATCAGCGACAAGAGTGGGGTAGAATTAGGAGTACGGGGTACAATATCCTGGGGTATCGGCTTGACTTGTCAGTTGAGAATGTTTAACAATTTGTCTTCCCTCCCTGGGTAGTAAATCTTCACCTTGAGGACGACTGCATTCTTTTAAGAACATACACTTGGGTATTTCTTTTGCTAATCTCGAACGCGAATGATTGAAATATTATTTTAGCAAATCAATTTGAATTAATCCCATGTGAATTTAACAAAGGGAATGCCACTGTTATACGACTCACGGGGATAAACGTCGACACAACTGTCGCTGTCCGGACACATTTAGATACACCTGCGGATGTTCAAAAGTAATTTTCCTCGTCACTATCGGGACGGATTCCGTAGATGTAGTGGCCGTGTTTGTTCGTTGTTTAACGCCGCACTCAGTAATATTCAGGCTTTATGACGGCGGTCTGTAAATAATCGAGTCTGAACCAGACAATCCAATAATTGACATCATGAGCATCGATCCACTCAATTGGGATACGATGACATGTATCAACCAAGTCAGCGAGCCAAAGTTTGGGCCAAAGATCGGTATATATTTTTTAAAAATGAAGGTCTGGTAATAACATACACTTACGATTATCGTTGTACTCTTAAATGGCTCAGAGAAATGGGCCCCAGGTATCATTGCGTTGGGATTAACACTTCTTTGAAAAGTATGTAAGTTATATAACGGTGTGTCAGCGTGATGTGGGATGCAGGCTCGACGATAATACTTTTTATAAGATGTAGATTCCGATATTGGGCGAGGGCTGCCATGATGATGATGATGATGATGATGAAGGTGGTGGTTTTATGCATGCCTCCTATTTAACAAACGCTCAACAATTCAGTCTCAACATACCGTTACCAACCATCCCGCCATGAAGGGATTTGGGGTGCAGATTGGTCTCTGGCATCCAATGTTTGCCGCAAGTGAAGCCGTAAATGAGGATTGGGTGGATGTAGTAGGTGTCATCATGTCTCGACAGTTCGTCCGGTGGTTCATTCAGTCCATCACTGAGCTGCTGTTCCCGGTTCGACTATTAAAAGGTCGTCTTAAAATAGCTTGAATATTGCTGACTGCGGCGTTAAACAATATTCACTCACTCACGTGACCATCCAACCTCGACCTTCGCTCCTGACCCTTACCAACCTTAGTGCCTGGTTCTGATATAGTGAATGAGGAAGTTTGTCCGACTCCTTTGATACCCTGACGTCGTGATTATTTAAGAGATGTGTGTGTAATAGTTTTTGATCTCCATCAGTCTCAGTAAGATCCTTGTTTTACCTTCGCCTAGACAGACCGACTAGGAGATGGATTCTAATGCAGTTATCACTCATTGTATTTCTTCGTAACGTTGTCAAATCCTTAAACTTCCTCCTGCCGAAATAATTTGAAAAAAGAGCTTCTTTTGGAAGACATGACTCTTTGTACGTAACAACGTTGTTATTAGTTTTCTGCAACGTTTGAGAGATATCTCTTGACATCCCTGTTTCCTTAAACTTCTGATTGTCCATCAAAGACAGCAATTAATTTGTTATAAACTGGGGAAAACTAATCTCATTAAAATCAAATCTTAGTTCTCGCTACCGCAAGACAAAGTTTTGTTTAGCGGTAGCGAGAACTATGATATGAATTTAATGAGATTGTGGGGAAACGAATTATTTTGTGAATGATTAGCATTCCATTCATTTTTTAATTATCTTGTGAGATGTAGCAAAATGTATATTTGGGAACATTTTAGACGAGATGGATCACAATGACAATTCCCTTGTTTTTAAGTACCCTAATTATTGGGGCACCAGGGGACGGTCAGCAAAAATGAAGAGGAGGGTAAAAAAATAATACAAATATTGGGTGAGGATCATGAAGACAATGTACAAGGACATGGGGAGGGGCATCCGAAAAATATGACAAGCATTAGGGGAGGGTCATCATTATTAGTACTTAATGCATCAGAAACATCTGACTAACATCCCAGTAATAAAGTATCCTTCCCTAACGTAATCCTGAGGACAGAATAAAGAGTTGTTGTTTTTTTAAACTTTGTGTAAAGATTAAGAATACGACACAATTCATGAGAAAAGTTTCTTTCCAAAAGAGAACTTACAGAACCGATTCAAATTGTTAGGATGATATTGTTTCTATTTAGTTTGTTTCCTATCTCAGTTGTTACTAACACTAATATGTGTGTTCTTTTGTTACAGTTGAGGACTTTCATGAGTTGTCCTTCTCGCCCGACTGATGTGAGCTGTCCTAAAGGATACGCCATGTTTGCTAATACCACGCTGTCATCTAGCCCGGATGAGAACGGCTGCTGCTATTGGTCCAGTTTCGACCTAACGTCGTTCGCCAAGGGTCAACGCCTGAAGGCCTACGTCGGCCTTTTGAACGGGAAAGGACCGCGGAGTGGGGACCACACGGTCATTAAAATCTTTCGGGATGAGACCGGGACGGAAACAATGTGCAATATTGAAATCAAGAAATCCAAAACAGCCCAGTCGTTTGTTGTGCCGTTCACGGGCGTGATTTCGCCAGAATTCCCGATTCACTTCACTAGTCTCCTGAAAGCATGCATGGATGATGTATGTCTTATGAAGAACGCGTTATCAAGCGGGAGGAAGCTCTGTAAGCAGGAATGGGTTTTAATCGAGGAGAAAATTGGCAAGAACTTTCAGAACTTTGTCAGCCATTCCGGAAAAGCCAATCCAACCACTGCAACCAAAATCCTTGAAGCATTTGTTCACTTCACGTACCACAATTCTGCCGGGAAACTTGTCGTCTGCGGATTGGAAGGGAGCTCCGAAAGGGGAAAGACGTGTCTGAAGACTCCAACCATCCATTCGGTTACCAAAGAGTACGGTGGGTGGGATCTGGGAGAAAAGGGAATCAAGATGGTGTTTGCGAATCATGTCTGTAACGACCTGTGCAGAGAATTCATCACGCCGCGACATTTCTCAGATCGCGCCGAGCCTTCAGCCCCATTCGACCCCGATCTCGCTTATGGCGGCGAGTTCGACGTTTCCCAGATGCCGAGATACGATCAGTTTTCACCTTACTCGTTCGGGCAGTACTTCAACTTCCCTTCACCACCGCCATACCAAATGTATCCCGATCTTCGCCTCGCATGTGCTTTCAACCAAAAAACCACACCCTATCAACCCAACTACCATCACCCAATTTCAGCCTAAAGATTCATCTGATATAGTTCATCGCCCCCACGAACATTGTTCGCAGAACATCGGACAATTCCGGAGAAAACACGAGCATCAACTACAATACCCGAATATGAAATGACAACATATCGCCCCCACGAACATTGTTCCATCACATCAGCAGATCATCGGACAATTACAGAGATTAAACGACCTGCAACGACAATACCCGAATACGAAATATGACATGCGCATCCAACCTCTATATTCAATCATATCATATATAGCACATATCATGTTTATTGCAAGATTCCCTAAAATATATGCATAAGACACTGCGCAGCTATCGCCGAAGCACAATTTGTATCGTTTATATAGAATGCAGCTATGCAGTATGCCAAAATCATCGCTATGTCTGTGTGTGTTCAGTATTAATATGTCTCATATTCATTGATGTGATGTTCAAAGCGTCTCTTGACATAGGTACTCAATGCAATTGTTTACCAAAGGTTGTTTGTTCCCTATATTCAAGTCTGTAGGTCCTTTCCATAATGCAAGACCGCGTTATTCATGAATGTTTTTGAGGTCATTGCTTGTCTCGTTCACAAAGAAAGTCTTTTATTTCTGCAGTGAACCTCTTTTGAGTCTCAATCGCTGAAATGTACTTTTGTTTGTAAACAATTCTTACTAATTCATTCGTTCTATATTATATGCATTTGTTTCAAATTAACAGGGATACGAGTCGCGTCCATGAGGTGTGTCAATATCCTTTCATCCTTGGTTCAAATCCAGAATTCGCTCTGACTATCATGCCTGGTATTTAAGGAACTTCTTGGGGCACGGGTGGCCCAGTCGTGTAAAGCGCCCCAATTCGCTATGCAGAGTTGCGTCCCTTGGACACGCCAGTATCCTATGACTGTTGGTTCGAATGCCGGTTCATCCCGATCATGTAACATTTGAGACCTGTATCACTTTGGATTTTCCTTACACATAAAGCTGACAAGCCGTGATGCAGCTGGAATACTGTTCAAAATCACTCACAGAGAAATTCCTGATGAAGACAAAATGTCCATCAGTATTCGTATAATTCAGAAGCTCTGAAATCTGGCTTAACCTAATGTTCTCTCGTCACGCCGAAGACCCGGGTTCGATTCCCCACATGGGCCCAATGTGTGAAGCCCATTTCTATTGCCCCCGCCGTGATATTGCCAGACGATTTTTAATAGCGGTATGAAACTATTCAAGCAGGTTACGCATGAAGAAATGTGTCTGACATTGAATCCAAACTGGCCTATAGTATCCAATTTAGACGTCACAGGACATTCTTTTGCCCATATACTTCGATTTGTTCGGATAAAAAAATGTAATTTTTAACCTATAATGTGTTAAAATAAGTCCACATCACCGTGACATTATTCTTTTCGGGGATTACTAAACTTCTCCATGAGTCAAAATTATCAAAATATCTTCCCGGCCCGGCTAGGTGAACCTGTTCCTCTAAACACAAAACACGACACAAAAAGTCGTCTATTATTAACTTCATCGTGAAGATTGTGTTTTGTCAAGGACATATCCGGAGCGATTCACCAAAAAAAAATTGATACTATTTTAGCCAAGGAAGTAAATGACCCGTAATCTATAGCTGAACCCCGTTTATCCGAAACCCAACTAATCCGAATATTTTCTGACATTCTTTTTCCGATGCAATCGGAAATTTGTATATTTGGAAAACCTGAGTCTTATTGTAGATTAAGACCAAACGGACGTTGAATATTATTTTGTATTTACCGACGTGCATTTATTTCATTATTAATATCGATGACATTTAAGCATGTCATTTATGAGGTTTAAACTATGTCTCAACATTAACATGTTACGTACTCTAACAGAGGAATGGATCTCAGGCCTTGTGTTGGCAGTTGGAAGAAATCTCGTGTTGCCGAAAGGTATAATGTCTGATGCATTTGTGTGTACCCGCGCCCGTATGTCCATATAAACTGTTGACGATGCATGTGAAGGCGCTTACAAAAGTAGGTACCATCGCGATATCACAAAACCTGCAAATTGCAAATCCTCGTTAATCCGAAACCTGCTAATCCGGGCGACCATGGTAAAATACTGTTCTATATTATCCAACGATTGACCATAATATCAGTAAACTGAACAATCGAACTGGACAGAATAATCAAGGTTCCTTAAATCAAACAATCCTTTGTACAGTCTGAATCTATCAACGTGAGATCATTATTGTCATGTAGTCTAGTTTTGTTTTGAGTCCAAGACTATTGAAATACAAACGACTGCCATAATTATTTCTGTGACCTGAATTGTTGAGAATGAATTGTGCCTGTAAGCACTGTCTGTAATGAACTTTGTCTTGTCTTGACGGTGTACTCAGTAAAACCCCATTATTCCGGAAACTCCTCATTATGGGCAATTCTTGTTGGGATCCTCTACATGTACACAAAGGAGTTTACTTTAATCTTTTCACGGAGAAATCCAGAAATTTCCCAATCCGGTCATGTCATTGTATTAGTTAATAGGGTTTCAACTGTATAATCGTTTTGATATAATATGAGTTAATAAGAGTAGCTTGTGGGTTCCTTAAAAAAGATACCTCTATGATATTGTTTGCTTGGCATTGACCACAATATTCCATTGTGATTCAAATTATGGTTATTGGAAAGATAGCTTAACAAATTTACATATTGTATATGTTTTGATTTTGTGATAAAATGGCAGATCAATTCTTGATTGAAAAGTGATTGATTTCTAGCTTCAAAATGGCAGGGTGTATTTTTAAAAATGAAAAGTGCTATTTCATCTGTGATTTTATGTCATATATATTGTTATTTTGCTTGCTTAGCAATTCATATCCATTTACATGCAAATACATAATGCAAAACTCAAAACCAAATGATATACTGGAAAATAATCACCCCAGCAGTAAAGGGAGATAAACCCTTGAGCGATATGGTTACTTAAAATGAACATAGTTACTTCCCTTGCACAGTGTTCAATACTGCTCCAGTTTTAGCATCTTATATTTTTTTTAAGTTTTGTAAATTGATGTACTTGGATTGCTAAGTCTATAGAATATATATTTATGTAGTTTGTGCGATTTTAACGATTCTACATATTGTGCCAAATAATCCTTGATTTTGTCCTTCATTTCTATATATATTTTGTTCTCAGTAATTACACTTACTTCAGTGTATTGCTGCCAGAAATCCATGTATATTTTTTACTTTGTTTATAAACTGGAAGAGAACAATGTACCAATCACAGAGCCATTAGTGACAGTGAGAAACTGTTTATTCTTGGCACACTGGCCTGTGTAAAATAGAAAATATGAGATAAAACTGAGATCTGTCTCTATTTCCATATCAATTTAGTGTTATCTTGTGGAAATTGATCCATTGATATCTTTCAAACACTTGTTTTAAAACGTTTAGTTAACAATACAATAAAATTAGAACTGATCATGGTTTGGTTGAGTTTAAAAATCATTCATCTCAAAAATTACTGAATGGCGGTTCTGTAGCCAAGTGGATAAAGTGTTTGTTGGTCATGCCAAGACCCAGAATTGATTCTTTGACCTTTGAAGTTTGTTCTTGAGACATATTAAGAAATCCACATAAAATTATTCAGTTTAAAACAAATCGATTTATGGGCACATTGACATAATTGGTGTATTTTACTATTACTTCATTTACAGTTTTGTAACCATCGAATTCATTTTTTATGTTTCAACCTGAACAGTGTATTTGTCAATGTTTTTTTGATATGCTCATGTGAATTCTACGTGTTGTGTACTTCATATCATTCCATGTTGTCATGTGACCTGTCATGGGTTGTGTCATGTGACATGTGTTGTGTTGGACTTGCTTTCACTGCCTTGACAACCAATGCAATGTCCGCTTCTGATTACTGGTGCTCAAACTGTACATAACAGTAAAATAAACATTGGCTTTTATTTAACTGTGTTTGTTGTATTTAGTTGTTTGATGCAGCATTCGGCATCATTCCAGTTTTTCACACCAGCCTGGAATTCATCACGTTCGACCAGACAAACCTGTGATTGATATAATGAGCAATGATTAACGCACCTTAGTTGAGATGACAAGTAATCCACCAAGTCCAAAGCCTCAACACCTGATCCATTATACCTCTGTAAATTGTTTCTAAAAAAATGTATCTACCATGTCTATGAATTATGTGAATGTGTCAATGTTTCAATTAACAGTCTGATTGTATTTTTAACTAATTTCTAGCTGTTTCCCTGCTATAAGACAGAGGCCTATGAACAGTTCAATCTGGACCAGACAAACCAGTGATTGATATGAGGTACAATGACACATACTCAACAACCAACAGTCATGAGCTTGATCTTTAATTGGCCTCATTCGACAAACAAAAGTTACTGGTGACATATTCTAATCCCCAGGGAGCTGGACTCTTGACAATAAGTGCAGCTACAGGATTCATACACATCTTTGGACTCTAATCAACCACTCTTTAAGCACTTTACAGAGAAAAACATGTTTTCCGGGGCTCTTGTTTAACAACACCGAAATCCTGCAAATTTAATGACAGAATCATGCAATTTTCAGGCATGGTTAAATTCAAGCACTTCTAAAATCTATGCAAAGCCTGAGCTACCATGTAAAACAAGATTAAAGCATTACCGGTTATGCCTGTTAAGATCCAGTATAGAATATATCTTCAGCAACCCATGCTCGTCTTAAGAGGCGACTAATGGGATCAGGTGGTCTGGTTTGCTGACTTGGTTGATGCATGTCATCGTTTTCCAATTGCAAAGAACAATGATCATGATGTCAATCACTGGATTGTCTTGTCCACACTCAATTATTTACAGACTGGCGTCATATAGCTGGAATATTGCAAATTGCTGCGTTCAACAAAAGTTTGTAGTTAAGTGGCAACACTTAAGATAGTGGATCAAGTAAACATCAAACAAACCAGTGGTTGATAGCATAAGCAATGAGTGAGTTGGGTTTAATGCCGCTTTGGCAGTGTGGAACATTGCCCCTAAATCACTGGTTTGTGGTTTAACACCGGTGTGAACAGTGTTTCAGTCATATCAATGCTTGTCATGTCACATGAAAGCCCCAAGTGATACAGGTCTTGGGTGTTTAGCAGTTTGGTGAAAAACAAGACTCAAACCCATGATCAAAGGTTCCTGGTACGCCAAGGCATGCAACTCCAAACAGTGAATTGCATTGGCTGACACAACTGGGCCACAGTGTCGGTACAAAATAGACACGTTTGTTACAGTGTGTCACAGATTCCAAGAAAAAACAAAACAAACCATGGTAGGAGAAACATTTATTTGCAATGCAATTGCTCAACAAAAACATCATAATATGTTAAGAAAAACAAAATGACTTAAATCCCCAAAGAGAGTAGTGCAAAACGTATCCATTAGGCATGTGACACAAGGTGTCAAATCTAGTCAAGTTGAAAACATAACAGACATCTTGAAGAAACGTCATAATGCCAACAATCACAAACATATTAATCATTCCAACAGAGATTTGACACATTGCAGGTCAAGGGAAAGATTTGACACATTGCAGGTCAAGGGAAAGATTTGACACGTTGCAGGTCTGGGGAAAGATTTGACACATTGCAGGTCTATAAAAAGAAACAAAAGGATATCATAGAAGTCATTATGGACATAAACAATATATTCCATTCTGAAGTTTTGACTGGGGAAAGAAATGTATACTACTCAAAAGAAGTCAAAGAACACCTGATTCTTTCATATTACTATAGTTAATCTGTCAATACATACATACACATATATAAACAAATATACATACATAAACAAATATATATGTGTCATACTTTCATGATAAAAAAGTAAATAGAAAGGATTATACTTATGGTATCGATTTTAATGACAAATGAAATGCTCTTATAAAGTTTTGGGTCATTCTGAGAATGTACAGTACACAGAGTTCTCAGCATCATGCCTTCATAATTATTCACGACACAATACTATTATCATCAGATCATCTGTTTTCGGACATACGTTTTCTATCACAATTACTTGCACTATAACGAGGAGTGTTGCGTCACACGAAAATTGTAAATACTCAGATGATGGCTTGTTTTCAAGATAAAGTTATCTTTCATAAATGAGTGAGAAGGTTTACAATTGTTCATGTGATTAAGGTACTGTCGGAAATGCTAGAAAACTGCTTTTTGCCTGTTAAAAAAGGACATAATTTTTCACAGACTGTTGTTATTGAAATATTGAGTAACTACTGATTGCCCTACCTGTGGTTTGAAGTATTTCAGTCACAAGGAGTCCCATCGACAAGTTTACAGTAGACAAATTCGAACAAAAACAGGAAGTTTACATTTATTCTATGTCCAATGATGGCAGTCTGAAACGGACTATAGAAATATGCGCATGTGACTCCGTTATAATGATAATAATGTAGTCTTCATAAAACATCTAATCCACACACAAAAATCATTGAGAAAATTCTAGATGTGCATCTTCTAAAATGACAAAATGATGCTGCGTTTGTTTTATTAACATTGCTCCCATGGTGCATGTTACATTACACTTGCATAGCCATAACTATGGTACACGATATGCAGTCTGTACTGGGAAATGTATACAAGTTCTTTACACTTAAGAGAGATAGAGGGAAACCATTCATTAATTTAGATAGGGTGAATTACCGAACTGCCCAAGCTATTGGATTTTCAATTCATACCATCAAGTCTACGGTATGATAAATAAAATAAAACAAAACAGGTATAGGGGTGGTCTCAAAAACAAAACTGGGACGTAAAAGAATATTAGAGAGCTTTGATATAGGGTGATTAGGCGTATAGTGTACATTGTACAAGCTTTAAGAGCAGAAGGTAACCATGACTTGTAGTAGAATCGGGGAGGAATTTGAGATACAATTAATGTTAACTGCACTAACTACTGCTCTCCATGGGATTTCGATACACTGCGCGTGGAAATGACCAAGCACTTTTCAGGGGAAAATATTCCATCCTGTCTATGAGGTCACATTATCTCCGAACCATTCATAACTATCACAATCAGGGTGTCCAGAATTTACCTTGATGAATCATTCCACTGACTACATGTGGCAGATGGACAAAAAGCCCCCATGGTACCATCAGGTAAAGGCACGCTACAACCCATGATATGGGGCTCATTGATAGATATGTGCTAGTTTTCGAGGTGAAAAAGAAAACTGGTGATTTTCATAAGGAAATTATAGGAGGTGATATGTTCATAGACTGGTTGGATTTTCAGCTATTGCCCATTTAGCTATTGTCAGTGTCATTGTCATAGATTATAAGGCCAGTTAATATAACGTCCGGAAATCAGATACTGTCGCCCAAACCATGAGTAGTCTGAAGGCGCCCATACAGGAATATATGACATTGTCGACTTCAGATCATCTGAAACGAAAGTTCAACTCATGGAGAAAATTCGGCTGAATAAGACCCTGTAAAGTACAAGACGTGTGTGCTGGCGGCACAACACAGTTACGTTGTCTTACGTACGCCAGTCAGACATTGTGTGCTCAACCCTGTTGTGCCCATCTTGGCTAAGTGTAAAGGGTTCGTGGCAAGACATAACACAACATTCAAAAGCATCAGAGGAGATAAATGCTACCGAGAGAAATCATCTGTAGAACAAATACTTCTGGATCCCAAAACCGCAACCTTCCAATACTCATCCTGTTTCATAGCTCTTAACTATTCCACCATGTTTCCAAGCAAATATAATGCAGTACATATCCTAAATTGCCATTCCATCAACGCACATGTCAATTAGGTACAATAACAGCAATATTTTGAGAACACCCCCAACTCGGTGACATTTGCACCTGTGAGAATGCACGGACGGTGTGAGGTCATCACCTTGGGACAGGTGTTAGGTAATTACCTCAGGTTATAGGCCATTTCATACATGCATGACAACACCCGAATATTTTCTAATTTGATCATCATTTTACCTGTAAAAGTACATTTTAAAGGTAATCACAGGGTCAGTTAGGTAGGTTTGATGTTTAACGCCGCACTCAGCAATATTCCAGCTATATGACGGCGGTCTGTAAATAATCGAGTCTGGACCAGACCATCGAGTGATTGATATCATGAGCATCGATCCATGCAATTGGGATCGATGACATGCATCAACCAAGTCAGCGAGCCTCACCACCCGATCCCGTTAGTCGCCTTTTTACGACAAGCATATTCATCTTTTACGGCAAGCATTGGTTTCTGAAGACCTATTCTACCCCGGAATCTTCATGGGTCGGGTCAGTTAGGACAGGCTAGATTAGGGCAATTTGCTTGTCTTGATATATGCTCTTTTTATAGTCCTATGACTCGTATTTATTAAATGAAGCCAGAAAAGCTTCTAGCTTTTCCGACAGTACTTTAGTAAGAAAACTATGAATGTTTTTTAAGCGTCCGAAAACACGGGGATAAATGTTGTATTAACGTCTTATGTTTTTTTTCTTTTTAACAAAATGTAAATAAGTATAAGGTAAGTGTTTTTCAAAATGCTTCAACATACTTATAATACATGCATTAGTGAATTTGTTCTTTGTAGTTCTTTGTAGGTTGCCAAGGGGACCAACTTCTTTTGGAAGGCAGGGGCAGGAGAAAAAGTAGTCAGGGCTGAAAGTAGTTTTATATTTGTTTGTGTTCTTTGTAGTGTTCTTTGTAGTATTCATAGCTCAAAGTTATGGGATGCGGTATATGAAGTATCTTTTTGTATTATCCTAGTGTAGAAAGGTACATGAAAATAGTGAAGCTGTCATTTATTCCAATAGTTACCTATTCAGATTAAAGTGCTTCTCTGCCTACAATGAATGCTACAACCAAAACTGACGAGACAACGTCAAATATGTCTTCTATGATTTTGTATGTAGGCAAGACATGGGGGAGCATATCCCAAATTTGTGTGTGGTGCAGTTAGGGTGTGGACGATGCATCGGTCAAGAGACAAAGGAGTTGTGCTAACACTGTCCATGGAGACAAGAAGGTTACAGTCCCAGCCGCGAGAAAGTGTTTTCGAGGCCCCACCACGCTACGCGATGTGTGTGTCTGGTTGACGACTCTGGCCGAAAAGAAGAAGAAGAAGAACCAAGAGGAGGAGGGCGGTGCACGCAAGGGGACAACAGCACACCTTGGCAAAAGAAAACACGACGGAACCCTCTAGAGGCCATCCTCCGACAAAACGTAGGCGACGTCCATCACGCCAGGAGGAGGGGAAGGGGGAGGATGCCATGGAGGTGGAGGCACCCATCCCGTTGGAGGAGGGAGGAAGAGAAGGAGATGAAGAAGAAGAACATCACCGTCCAGCCGCCCGAGAAGGAGCTCATTTATGTGATTGCACACAACGTGCGAGCCTATGATCTGCACTTGATCATGAAGGTCTTGTACCCACATCTGGTGAAACTCCCCACCAAGATTTGGAATGGACAACAGATTTTACAGGTGACCCTGGGACGATTGTGTTTTGAAGACAGTTTGAATTTCATACCCTACCTGCTGAAAGCATTTCCAAAGACCTTTGGACTGAATGAACTGAAGAAAGGGTATTTTCCTCACTTTTTCAATACCGAAGCCAACCAGACCTACAGAGGTTCCTATCCACCAGCCGTCATGTACGATCCCGATGGCATGTCTCCCGCGGAACACACTGCCTTCCTCCAGTGGCATACCAAGAAAGTTCAAGAAGGAGCCTTGTTTGACTTGCAAGAAGAACTCTTAGCCTACTGTCGGAGCGATGTCGATATTTTGAGACGTGGATGTGCTGACTTCCGACAGAACTCCATCAAGACGGTTCGCATGGATCCCTTTGTAGGTGTTGACGCTCTCTGCGTTCACCATGAAATCCTTCCGAAAACCTGATCTGAAACCCGATACCATAGCCATTCTTCCACCTCAAGGCTACCAACCCAAGAGAAACTATTCCCAGGTCTGTATGAACTGGTTCAGTTATTTCATGGAGACCGACCCCGATCTGCACCTCCAGCACGCTAGGAATGGAGGTGAAAAGGAGTTCACGTGCGGAGAGGGTAAACATCTTTACAGTGTGGATGGCTACGATCCAAAACAAATGTGTAGGGTGTGGTGATAGGGATAGATTACGAACGGAGAAGAAACGCTAAGGCCCAATCAAACCATTTAGAGGGGGGACATGTCACACAAATGACTCTAAACTTTGCGAATTCCTGCACAGTTATCACAGAGGATGAGAGGTACAGCCACATTCCATCCGGACAAAGACATGCACAACATTGTTCTCACTGACCCAATGTACATGACAATGTTGCGACAAATAGGTTGGGAAAACAAATTAGTTCATTGTGGTGGAGATAAGAGACACTGGACCATTATTGGACTGTAGTATGTCGTGACAGTTTGCCCTATTGGATCATCAAGAAATTGAAGGATGAAGCCACAGCAGTTTCTTAAACCAGAATTCTTTCGAAACGCAAAAAAAAAGCCTGTGCTAATGCAAAATTAGAATTTGATGTATCTAAAAGGGTGTATCTAAAAGTCTGGTCTGGGCACTATGAGATGAATCTGATTAAATCCTTTTTCAAACTAAATGTGACACCCTTTCTGGAGTATTTCTGTGACATAAGGAACTTTGAAACTTAATAAAACTGCCCAAAACGCAAACAACCATTAACAACCAACAGTAAAGTTGGGCTTTACTGCTTGTTTTCCATCTCGGCACTCATCAACCCCTATGCCACATGTGAATCAGCACCACATTCGGACATAGGTTTCCTAAGTTATGCAAAATCTCAATACACTTACCCAAA